ATGTTAATTTAGATGACCCAAGTAGCTGCTGGAAAGCATTTACCAGTAACATTAATACAGGGTATGTGTTTTGGTTTGGTATGGTTATCGACTATATCTTATTATTATTAGGTTATCTTTAGATTCTTGTAATTAAATATTATTTAAATATAAATTTATTATCTATATGAGTCAATGTTCCTGTCAAATTGAATCTCAATGACGTCTTCGTTAACTATTATTGTTCCTCAGGTGTTAGATCATTACAAAGATCGTTGGTAAACTTAGCGTCGACCTTGCTCAAGATCTTTCTTAAACCTGTATCTCTATGATCAGCATCTATGTTAATTATCACGTTCCTCAAGTAATCTTGCAAATAAATAATCGGAAAGTGAATTGGTACCATTGCAAGCACTTCTCCAACTGTAAAGAAAATGCCATAAGTTGATATAAAATGCTGTATTGCTGGAAAGTGCTGGTGGTCATCACACTCTCTCCTAATGTAAAACTTAAATATGTTAACTAGATTGTTCTTCTTATGCTTGTACGATGATCCATTATCCCGTGTGATATATTTGGGATTCTTACAATAGCAGGCAGACACAGGCAAAGGAAATTCACCATACAATGCAACATACTCAGCACTAGAATAATCCGAAAACTCGAGTAGCCCTATAAGCAAATCTTCCTGTTTACTATAAATCAGTTTAAAATAACTGAATATATTTTCAACAGAAATTATCTCTTCAAATTTGCTGATAGTGCTTGCATACTGTGAATCCCTATTCCGAGTTCTGATAATTAAAAGCTCCAGGATCTTCAAATAAACATCAATAAATTGTTGGCATTCGCTTCGTTTCATGCTAACTCTTAAATAATCCGGCCAGCTTATTTTAGGCCATTTTGAATCACTTAATGAATTTTCCATCTGGTAAGTTTGTTGTAAAATGTTAAAATTGAATTTATTATTGTCTTCCAATTTTGAAACAATTTCTTTGGTTAACTCAATGAGAAATTCATCTAAAGCTTCTAAATCTAAATCATTTTCCAAAGTTTCTAAGAAGCTAGACTCCATGTACTCTAAGCGTAGTTGTGAAAAATCGATCTCATCAGAAAACGATTCGGAGATTTCTTCCATAATACGCTTATGAGTTGCCTTTTGCGTATCATTATTTGCCTTCATGAATGATAAAGCCACAGAAGGATTATGTTTCAAAACTTCAAGTAGATATTTTGAGTATGCCTTATCATTCTTTAAATTATCTTTAAGCTGTGATAAAATTATTTCTTGCAAATTAAAAGAAACATCATTAAAATGTATTTCAGAGCCTAGTGGCTTGGTTACATCAGGATCACTTAATTCCTCACCCAACAATCTTAAACATATATCACATATTTCTTTAGAAATCTCCACCTTAAAATGCTCTTCTAAAGTGTCTACCAATATGAGGTATATATGTAATAAACCAAAATAGTTTTCGCTATTCTTTACAAGATTTAAGATGGCATCATTATTTAAAGCATCATTACTTGAGCTTTGAATCTTCCACATCTTCTTATCATGGTGATTGATAAAATCAATTAGGAGTTTACTGGAAGTAAGCTTTTTTTGATATAATTTCATGCGACAGTAATTCAAGAGATCTTCGTCAGCATTGTCCCCATCGACTAAAAATTCAGTGTATAACTTTTCCAAATAGTCAATTAAAAGGCCAGTATGGGAGTGTTTGTCAAATAAATGTTTAATTATATCAGTTAATCCTGTAAAAATCTGAAAGTTCAGAAACAATAGGTCGTTAGGTTGAATGCTATCAATAACAAATATTACAAATCTAGGATCAACGTTCAACTTTGAAGTCTTAGTTGTACCTTCTTCTACTTTTGGGAATGATAGTTCCATGCATTGGTTATAATTACCTTCCAGGGTGTATAATAAGAAAAGAAATTGAGTTGAATAATCATGTAATTCGCAAGTGCATTTTGGAATTATTGCTTCTAACAGCTTTGATATATTCTTTATTTCTTCTAAATTAAGAGATGTATCCAAAGATATTTCTCGTACCTTCTTTGTCAAAATTATTATCTGGTTAATTTCATACATCATCCAAATATTAGATTCTTTGTATACTAATGTTTTACTTCCGATAATATATTTTGACGTTGATTTCAGTACAGAACCATCCTTAATATCAGTCTTACTTAATAAGTTTGAAAGCTCGTCATCATTGCATTCTATATTCTGGTATACTCTTAATATCTTATAGCCCTCAGAATTATTATCAGGAAGGTCACTTTTAGTATTCAAGGTTGTTTGTGGTGGCGCATCATCTGTCCCTGATTCTTTTGGTACGGCTTCCGTTTTTGCGTTGCTTGCTTCTACAGTTTTAGTTTCTTCTTTTGTAATTTCTGCAGAATCTGCTACTACTTCTCTAGAATCATTTTCTCCCTCCGGAATATTCAAGAGATCCTGAATGTAACAGCTAGATTCAGTTTCCAATGACTTCAAAGAGGCGACCACCATCTTGCTTTTAAAATTATTCGATTTGCATATAGCAAATACATAGGGCCATTCAATTGAAACACCACTAGAAGGATGTTCGCCGCTTGGCCATAATAATGTTCCTCTTGTAACATCACCAGAGGAGTTAATAAACATTGACATAGACGTAGACTCATCGGATTTGATTGTAAGCAAAAACTCTTCATCAGTTTCGTCATCATTAGGAAAAAAAGGGACAATTTGAGGATACATATCGTCATTTGCATTGGGGTGATAATCAAATAATGGAACTTTACGAGTCTTCTTTAAGTCAATTATATCATAATTTTTTTCATTTGCTACCACAGCCAAAGAACTATGATCCAGAATGTTCAAGGAGCTAAATGCGACACATTTTATGGCATTAGAATAGCTTATATCCTTGATTAACTTAATCAGTTCTTTACTAACTTGAATTACTCGAATTTTATCATCTGTTAAGGTTAGTACTTCCTCATTCTCGATACTAGGTCGTATTTCAGATTTTTCCAAGGGAGAATGATTCGAAAAGTACAGTAAATTAACTATTTTCTTCAATTTACCAATATGTGACGGCGATAATTCTGGGACAGAGTATACACTTGCAATTTCACCGCATAAAATTAGTGCTCTTTCAATGTGAGGTAGTATCAATATCTTCTTCACCGGTTTCTTGTCTTGAGATATTTGTAATTTTGAAATCATAATATAATCGGAAGCATCTTCAAAATGATGATAATGCAAAATTTGTCCTAAAGAAGTGCCCACATATATGTTAGTTTGATAAGATGCAATATAAGTAATAATCTCTTCATCCTTTTGCACAACAGATGCAAGATCTGTAACTAGTGCTCGAAACTTATATGTTGACGGATAGCAATTGATTCCATCTAATTGGATGTAGTCATTTGCCATGCTTATTGAACTGCAAGAGTGCTTACTATGGCTAATCGATAAGACTGATTTGAATAAGTTGAATATTGATATTCACTGGAACAATCTGCAGTACTTCAAGAGTATAATATTGGTGTACGGATGTATATTTTTAAAACTAACTTAATGAACTACATAGTTAATTATTGTCAAATAAGGATTCAGTGGAAGGAGGTAAAGTTGGTTGGAATGCCAAATTATCTCTATGAGAAACGTATTCACTATCAGCAAATCCCAAGACAGGCTCAATTTCACTACTGTGTAAACCCTTTATTAAGTTTATTTCAATGGCACTATAATTCACTCTGCATGTTCCTACTTCGAGACCGTCAGATAAAGGAGAGGATCTTTCAGGAATAACCTTTATTGATACGCACTCGCTTTCATGGAAACTGCCTTCAACAGCCACAATACCCACTGGAAGTAAACCGGCCCTATCTTTTCTGGTTAAGGCTTCATAACATAACTGATCAATATATAAAGTTCCCTTAGTTTTTATACCATGTAATAACCAGAATCTCTTATCCGATATTATCTTAGTTGCACGAGGTAACCCTAAGAAACGTGTATGGAGAGGGATTTTGTTTTTTTTGATCTCGCTAGCTATATATCTAGTTTGCTGTTCAGTAGATAAATCAAGCTTGTCCATAGACTGAATATTTGACACAATAGATAAAATCGAGTCTGGCTGACTAGAAAGGGTTATTATAGTTGTCACACCGACATTAGTAGCTAATCCAGCTGCGATTAATTTTGTAGTCATACCCCCAGTACCCACTTGGGATCCGCCAGATTCTGTATCGGTCTTCACGGCCAAATCATCAACTTTATCTACCACTAGTATAGGTTCTGCATCTGGATTACTCCTTGGATTGTCTGTGTATAAGCATTGAACGTCTGTCATTAAGAATAAATAATCGGCATGAACCATACCTGCAGTAATTGCCGAAAGCGTATCATTATCACCAAATTTAATTTCAGCCACTGATAACGTGTCATTTTCATTTACAATTGGAATCACTCCCATGTCCAATAATTCATGTAACGTATTTTTAGCATTCTTATACTGATTAAAATCACTTATATCATTTCTTGTAAGCAAAATCTGCCCAACAGTCTGCTCCATTTGCCTGAAGAGATCATCAAATAATCCGATTAAGCGACCTTGACCAATTGATGCCAACCCTTGTACCGCAGCCAATTTTGATGGTTTGTTAGAGATACCAACTCTTTTCATCCCAAACGCAATCGCTCCCGATGAGACAAGGACTATTTTGTGCCCCTGGCGACGAAGCTTGACGATAGTTTCCACTATAAGCGACATATTTGCAATTCTTGGTTCTCTGGTAACCTCATCTACTAAGGATGAGGTCCCAAGTTTAATAACAATTATATATGAGTTTGAATCTGACATTTGATAAGTATTTGGAGATATAAGATAAGTATAAGAGGTTTATCAAGAAATTTCAGAAAACCGATACTATGTAAATGAGCGTTACACGAATTACGAGGACGAGAAAAGTTTACGATAAAAAGCACGTATTTGAAGGTGGAACTGATGTAGGCAATAATGGAATTGAGCTTTGATAAAATACTTCTATTTGGCGATTCGATAACTCAACATGGATTTGATCAAAGTTCAGGTTTTGTATTTGGATCAGCCTTGCAGGAAGGTATGTAACCGTTAATAACCCTTATCTGAACGCCGTATATTAACATCATCAGCATATATGAGGAAACTAGATATTTTGAATAGAGGGTTTAGTGGTTATAACACAGATCATTGCAGACTTATCTTACCCAAGGTATTAGAAGTTGAACATAAGGGAGCATCGAAGGTGAAACTTATGACGATTTTTCTTGGTACAAACGACGCACTAAGCACGATTCAACATGTGCCGGTGTCAAGATATAGAGAGAATTTAGCTTTAATGGTAGACGAGGCATTACGTTACGACATAAAGCTTGTAATTATAGGACCTGCATTGCACGATCCTAAACTTCTTCCACCAGGCTTTGCAGAAAATGGCCCGGGAGATATTTCATCGAGTTCAAATAATAAAACCTACTCTGAGGCTGCAAGATCCGTAGCGGAACAATACAAGGTGCCGTTCTTAGATTTATGGACAGCTTTTCAGAATAAGGGAGGTTGGTCAGATGAACAATTGGCCCAGCAGAGTGTTTCCATTCGCTCGTTACTATCTGACGGAATACATTTTACCCCCGAAGCTTATCAAGTCCTTTACGCGGAGCTAATTTCAATTATTGACTATGAGTATCCCGAGTTGGCCCCCCGTAACCTCAAGATGAAATTGGCCATCTGGAACACTATTGATCCGTATAATATAGAGAAAACAATGTTCACTAACTAATCGCCTCTGAACATAACCAATAGACCCAAAGGGGTCTCTCTGGTCACTTACATATTTTATACAAATACAATACACAGACTTAGATTTATTACCACCTAACAGTTTTAGGCTCCCACATTCACGAACAATTATCGGTTGCTGTTGTTACATCTCATAAAGATCCGCTGAAAAGTGGGGCAAACTCGGTGCATAATGGAGAAACTCAACATAATTTTTCCGTCCTCAATGAAAAATGGAGGGTACAACTATAGATTCTATTCATACCTTTATCTTATAACTAATACTATATGTTTACAGGGATAAGCTTTAGGATCGGTTTAGGAACATTTGATCAAATACATAGGATATCCAGTGTGTTTGAAAAGGTATTTGTAGATATAATACAGCTTCAATGCACGAACCCTTTATTTACGAGGATATAAATAAAGACCACATTTTATTCCGAAGGTATGAAATTATCCAAAACACCAAGCCATTGAAACATTGTTCCATATATCAGACATAAGTGGGACAATGGTTTATTGTAATCTCCCCACATCATTCGAACGTATTCGGCAATTCTTATGATCGCAGAATTGCTCGTAAAATTAATCGCTGAAATTATTATAGCGAAATACTTTGCAAACTATTGTCTCCGTAATAGAGGAGCGATGAATCGTGGGGTTAAATCTAAACATGGGAAACATAAAGTATTTAAAGGGGACTAAACCACCTAAACCAGACTGCAATATATATTTAATCAGTAATAAATTTACTTTCATATAAACTAATAGAAAAACACGTATATTATAATGACTAAAGATTACATTTGGTGGAAAGACGCTAGTGTTTATCAAATCTGGCCTGCTTCGTATAAAGATTCGAATGGAGATGGTGTAGGTGATATTCCAGGTATTATTTCCACATTGGACTATGTTAAATCGTTAGGAACAGATGTAATTTGGCTTTCACCAATGTATGACTCTCCACAGGATGATATGGGTTACGACATTTCTAACTATGAAAAAGTCTATCCAAAATACGGAACATTAGAAGACATGGACCAGTTAATTGAGGGAACCCACAAAAGAGGTATGAAGTTGATTTTAGATTTGGTTATCAACCATACTTCTACCGAACATGACTGGTTTAAGCAATCGAGATCGTCCAAAACCGACCCAAAAAGAGATTGGTATATCTGGAAGCCACCACGCTATGATGCTGAAGGTAATAGACATCCTCCAAATAACTGGGTATCTCATTTTTCGGGATCAGCTTGGGCTTACGATGAAACCACTGATGAATATTACTTACATCTTTTTGCTGAATCCCAACCGGACTTGAATTGGGAAAACGAAGAAGCAAGAAAGGCGATCTATAAGTCTGCTTTGTCATTCTGGTTTGAAAAAGGAATCGATGGTTTCAGAATTGATACAGCCGGTATGTATTCAAAAGTTCAATCATTCGCTGATGCTCCAATCGTTTTCCCAGATTCCGAATGGCAACCATGCCAAATGTATTTCCAAAATGGACCTAGAATTCATGAATTTCATAAGGAGATGTTTGCATCTGTCACTTCTAAGTACGATGCTATGACTGTTGGAGAAGTTGGCCATTCACCTCGTGAAGAGTCTTTGAAATATGTAAGTGTTAAGGAAAAAGAGATGAATATGATGTTCTTATTCGATGCTGTGGAAGTTGGATCAAACCCTGCTGATAGATTTATCTATGATGGATACAAATTAACTGATTTCAAAAAGGCAGTCGAAAGTCAAAGTTCTTTTATCGAAGGTACTGATGCATGGTCTACTGTCTTCTATGAAAACCATGATCAACCAAGATCTATTACCAGATTTGGTAACGACTCGAATAAGTACAGAGTTAAATCAGGTAAGCTTTTAGCTTTATTACAGTCTACTTTAAGTGGTACTTTATATATTTATCAAGGTCAAGAAATTGGTATGACTAATTTACCAAGATCGTGGTCAATTGATGAATATCTTGATATTAATACTATCAATTATTACAAGGAATTCAAAGCCAAACATGGAGACAACAAAGAAAAAATGGATAAATTGATGGACAACATTAATTTATTGGCCAGAGATCATGCAAGATCTCCTGTTCAATGGGATGACACTGAAAATGCAGGTTTCTCTACAGGTAAACCATGGATGAGAGTTAACGATAACTATAAGGAAATTAATGTTGCATCCCAAGTTAATGATCCAAATTCCTTATTTTCCTTCTGGAAACAAAGTTTAAAGATTAGAAAGGAATATAAGGATTTGTTGATCTACGGTTCCTTTAAAATTCTTGATAAGGAAAACCAGAAAGTCTTTACTTATGTTAAGGAAGCTGCTGGCCAGAAGGCATATATTGTTTTAAATTTTACTTCAGAAAGTTCAAAGTTTGAGAACTTGGACGGAGGTAAATTAGAATTAGTACACTCTAACGTCAATGTGGAAGATGAAAGCACCTTGAGCCCTTACGAAGGTAGGTTTTATCTTATTAAGTAGTTTTATACGATTTTGATTGATATTTTTAATATATACGACATACAAAATATGCTGTCTTTTTTGATACTTAAGATACGAGACTTAGCTATAAAATCGTATTAGCTAATTAATAGGTGTTCCAAAAAAATAGAAGTTCATTCGAGTTCGGGAAATTCACCCTACTTTAGCTTGGTTTTAGGTGTAATTTTTCACTAGAAAATTCCTTCACCAGGTTGCCGTGGGTTGTTTGCATAACCATCATTTAAGTCCTCAATTTTATCATTGTACCAAAATCCCATTAACACCACTGCATATATCAATATTAAAATAACACCTTTGAAATAATTGGATTTTCCTTCAGCATAAATATAGGTAAATAAATAAATTGAAATCAAAGTAGCAATAATATCCCATCTTGGAAAGACCAACGAAAATATTTTGTCAACATTATCGAATTCTTTAAAAATTGAATATAATACTAAACATGGAATCTGAATTAGAACAACTTGCAAAGCGTAAGCACTACCAATTTCCATAGATAATGCTACATTCCCACCAATTGCAAAGGAAATAGCATTCAAGAATTCGGTAGTATTAGGAACTAGAGCAAAAACAGTTAAACCTAAAAATTTAGGATTAATAGGAAAATCAGACAAAACTGCGTCCACATTATTAACTAGTATTTCTGCAATTATCGCATACAATAATGTTGCACCAAGCAAAATAATAGCAGATTTGTTTCTCGACCAATTAGCCGCATCATGTCCACCATTTTCTTCGATTTCACTTTCTGCATCCTTATTTTGTCCGACCTCTTTGTTTCCAGCTTCATTCTCATTGGACGTCTTTTGCTTAGTTACATTACCCTGGGCCGAATTATTTCGAGATACAGCTTGCCGACTTTTATATGCATCCACAGAAGGTGACTGCGTCAAGGGTTGCACCTTAGGAGTGCTGCTTTGTTTATGCGGATCAACGCCACTAGAGTATGTAGCTGAAATAGACGGCGACATGTTAGCCTGCTTCAATGGCGGCTTTCCTGACTTGAGTTGCAATGAATGATCTAAGCTAACGGTGCTAGGTGATCTTATATAATCTTCTCTTTTGTTGAGAGCTGCTTGTTCGTGGGAATTAGTAGCCCAAATCAAAGAAGCATGCGTTCTTAAGGTAAAAAACAAACCACAAACATAGGCTGAGAACAATGCTGCTGCAACAATCATCGAAAAAGGTTTGATGATAGTATAATATAAGGTATCCAATGTAAATGACGGTTGAACAAATCGACATTTCGTGCAATCTCCAGCATCAAGCAAATCTAAGTCAGCATCACATTTCTTACACATTACATCATAGGATCCATAGATTTGGTAGAATAAGGATGGAGCAAACATAGTCACCATAGCAAATAATAACATTGTTGAAGAGACACCGGCAGATCGAGGATTATAACGTTGAGTTTTTCGTTTAAGTGCTCCACCACACATAGATAAGCCTGGAAGCAATAGCACACCACCTAGAATTGAACCAATCATCGAACCTTCGACTAGCTTAGCTTTGGATTGGTTTAAAGCCACACAATACAAAAATATTTCCACGATTGTTGAGAAAAAAGCATTAATAACAGCACCAAGTCCCATTGAGGACTGGGCCGAAATAGAGGCAACGGCCTGTCCAATAAAATAGGCTAAAGGTATGATTGAGAACAAACAAGCGCAAAATAAGAATGATGAATCCGTAAACCAGGTATCCCATCCTAGTCTTTCCTTTAGAACAAAATAGTCAAAAATAACAAATATAACAGCCGCAAGTAAATTATAGAAGAAAACATTCGTTCCATCAATAGTATATTTGTAGTAATGCAAACCACAACACCTATATGTACACAAAATGATCAGTTGATGTTTGCGCTTGTTTCTTGCATCTTCATTGGCAATATTTGCATAATAGTCCCTCTCTAATTCAAAATGTAATGCTAAAGGATGGCGTCTCAAATGATCACATAAAATTTTTGCAACATTTGCGATTGGAATCGTGAAGACAAAAAACCAGCATATTATCCCAACTATCCAAATAATTGGTTGTAAAATCACGTAAAAATATAGATAAAACATGAAACGGCCTGATGACCAACTTCCTCTACCAAAAAATCTCTTCTTGATATCACCAAGCTCTAAATCTTGTATTTCTTCATCATCTGATTCAAAAGGGTCTTCTAACGCATTTGCACTTGAATCAGCCGTACCTAGTGAAGAATATGCATCACTAAGAGGCCTTCCTTTATGATCCTTAAGAAGAGGCGCTGTTTCATTATTTGTGTTTGTATATCTTCTTGGTGGAGCAAAGAATAATCTACCTTCTTCTTGCTCCCTCCATTTCTGATATTCAGAAATAGTTCTTCCCTCTAATTGATCTTCATCCAAATAATTTTTGTCTTTAGTTAAAAGTACGAATTTACCGAATGGTGAGAGCCAGTATTTTCCTAACTTCATTAATAATTTTACATATGGTCTCAGCTGGCTATTTATAGCAAAGCCAGATAATATAAATACAACAAAAGCACCGATAAGACATAAAGCAAATAAAGCTAATCCGAAGGTAACTGACCATAGGAAGTTGCAAACATACACTCCCCAAAATATTCTGTAAGTTGATGCATGGGAATCATAATCATGGATATCTTCTTCAGCTCTTGCAGCCACAGATCTCTTTTTTTTATATAACGATGGCTTCCAGATTTTAATACCGAAAGGATGGGTGGAATTAATAGCATCTTGTCTTTCCCTCAAATTCAAAGACTCAATTGACGATCCTGATTTAACTGATTGATTATCATCATCGCTACTACCGTTTTCTTCACCTTCTTCATCCAAAACTTGATCAATCGGAGGCTCCTTATCCTTATTATTCTCAATAAACTTCAAAAGTTTTAAATTTTCCTTTGCCGATATTATATTGTTTATAAGATTCGATTCTATATTTGAAGATTTATACGAACGGATATTCTCGGCATCATTAGTAGATTTTAACATATCATCCACCTCTCCTTGTTCTTCATTATTATCTTCAGCATATACTGGAGTATAGCTCGTGTTTGGTTCCTGGTTGATTATATTCCTTGATTTCTTCAGGTAGAGTGCTTTCAAAGCATCATTATAACCTTCTAAGTATTCCCTATCAAATTTCACCTTATTTTTATTCGCTTCCACATTCCCTTGTTCTCCAGGGTCATCATCTACGGAGAATACCAATTTCTGGCCTGTTGATCCGCCTGGTGTAGATTTTCTTAGATGTTGCTTTGATCTTCTTCTCGGTTTAGACGATGATTTTGGGTTTAGGCTTGGAGAATTGGAAATGCTACTCATGCTCGTATTTCTATTTCCATCCATTGGCTCCGTAATTGAGTCGTTCTTCCGCATAGGTTGCTTACCATTATTAGAACCCGATGGCTGAGAATCTGACATATTGATCAGATAGCTTATTTACCACTGCAATACCAATTGAGATTCGAAGTAGATAAAATTTTATATTATGACTATATATTCCAGGATCCCCCCTGGCTCGTGCGCGCAGCTATAAATAAGTTTTCAGTCACCTAAACGGTACCCTTTTCCTTTGAAAGCTTCATTACCCTGACCGAACCACGAATATCCGGTGGATGTACCGGACCCTAAATTATCAGTAGACGTATTCTCATTCATGTCCAAATGGCTTCTAGGGGAGGCATTTGACGCAGCGTCCGGACGTGGGTAAAATGCAGTCGTTCTCTTGGAATTATTGGTTGGGTAGTTCAACAAATTATATAACCAAATTGGTGCCTTAAGATAACCCTTGTCAAAAATAGAATCTTCTATAAAATCAATTCCAGGTGTAGTAATTGACTGGTCTAAGCTCGCAAAATTATTGTTTAATTGACCCACTCTTCTACCATTTGCGTCTTTGTTCGAAGTTAGATACTTTGCGTATGAGCCTGGGAATAGGTTGTAAATCGGTAATGTATCCGATTGGAAACACTGGTATAAGTAACCACTGAAAATACCTATTGCAGAATCCAAAAACGAAGAGTAACCACTGATCAATAATTTGAAAAAAAGATTGAAAAGTGGCAAGTAGTATGCTTTGATTGGAACCAACCCGAGGAAATTTATTAACGAGTTCTTCAGCGAACGAGACCAAATATATGTGACACATGAAAGTATCATTTGGTGATGAACAGGAAAATGGTTTATATCTATGATCGCATTGTAAAGTAACGATAGTAATACAACAATAGTACCAGTAACCAACGTAAACCAAAGACAATCAGGGAAATTACGATGGAACTTACCCGTGTGAGACTCAAGGTGGTTGGCAAACGTATAGAAAAAGTAGATATCCAATATGGCATGGAAAGGTTGATCAGTTAATAAGCCTTGGGGTAATAGAAAGCACGTAAAAAATCTATAACTCTGTGCTAATAGCTCCACAACAGCGCCAAAAATACCCATCATATTCGAGTTACTTATTACTTTCGAAGTATCGTTAAAGGTGTCTATGAATAGCGGTAAGTAACATATTAATTGGTGTGGTTGAATTATCTTTAACGAATTAGCGAAGCATACAATCACCGTAGTTATTGTAAAAAATCTAGTAACAGGCGGAATATTCCTTATGCTATCAGCAAGCGTTACCGACTGATTACTCATGATAGTGTTTAGTTCGCTTTATCTCTTTGTTCTATCCTTATGGATGTAGACATATGAACAGTGGATCCTTTTGGTCCATTTCCGCAGTATAGTATGGTTATTACACAAAAATAATTGTTAACCATTAAGAATGAATGAAAAATTAGAAGATTGTAGAGCCGTTGTGTTCCAGCATCCGGTATTACACCGATAATTTACCACCAACACTAACCAAACCTTTCGATCCTTTATACCAGCCTAATTGTTTCTGTTTCTTGTAGTGGGTAAATTTCAGAACAGATTCTATATAAACGAGAAATATTTGTAGTACAAAATATTCTGAAATTTACACAGGTCTTCGCTAGTATGCGAATATCATAATTTATATGTTAACGATTGATGGAGATTGCAACATTAAATTAGACATAAATAATTGAATCGAAAAGGGAACATGAAGTTAGTCAGGTTTTTGATGAACTTGCCAAATGCTACAAACCAGCCAATAACCGTGGAGTTGAAGAATGGTAACTCCATAAATGGTCAAATATTATCGTGTTCACCACTGATGAACTTATCTATGAAGAATATCAAATTGAGCCAACCTCATCAAGATCCTCAACTTTTACAGTTTATAAACATCAGGGGTAACCAAATCAGACAAATACTATTGCCTGATGAACTAAATGTTGACAATGTTTTGGCTAGAAGTGTGGTTAAGATAAAAGGAAACGGGTCGGGTCCAGGTAGCAAAGATTTAGCAAGCAGCACCAATAAAGGCAGAAAAGGTGGTAGACCGACTAGAGGTGGACGCGGCGGATCAAGGGGAGGCGGCTCGAGGGCTTTTTAGAGAGTAAAGGTATTTAGTCTTATTAGCATTATGATATTTCATATACATCTATATATACAAGTGAAAAATATTGAATTCTGGAGTTTGTAGCAGTAAGAAGAAAGCATTGCAACAGTAAGAGGAAAACTGGCGAATAAATAGATTACCACCAGTTCTTCTTGGTTTCTTCTCTCTTCTGGACTTGTTTTCTATATTTGGGTCTAGTGGCCATGATAATTTCGTCCATCTCTGAAATAGCAGCCTCTTTTTGCTTGATCTTTTCAGGTAAGTTTCTTTCCCATTTGTGTTTCTTCTGGTTCAATACACCTCTCATCCAGTTCTTATCATTGTACTTTTCTTCGTAGAATTTCTTCTGTGGAAGTGGTGGTAATAAGTCATGAATACCGAACTTGTGGGCCATTTTAAACAAGTCAGCCGATCTTCTCAACGAATATTTAGCCCCCTGCCATCTGCCTGTTTCAATATTTTTATTGGCTAAAAATGGATTCATTTTTGGATCTTGAATGGTTGATGGTTTTGATGAATATTCGGCAAATGGTCTTGGTGGAAATTTGATGAAAAAGTTATGCAATTTTTGCGGAAGCTTACTGAAAGCTTCCTTGGATGTTAAAGACATGGCTAATATATATGTATAATATATAAACGAACGTATGCTTCGCTATATAATTTAACGTAGAGTACTATTAAAGGTTTTATTGGTGATCGAACTAAAATTTTCAGAAAAATACATTATATACAGGATTGATATACATACATATAATTGCAAAATCATTACATACCTATATAAGCTATTCAGGACCACTGATGATACATTTGACACAGCCATTACCACCCTTAACAAGGTCATAAGCTTCAATAGCATTATCAAATTTAAACCTATGAGTAATCAAGCTTTCAAAGTCAATAGCTGCGTTTTCTTTACCATTTCTATAATTTTCGTCCAAGATAGCTACACTAGTCTTGTAATCATTGAAGCCATATCTAAATGACCCAAATAAAGTCAATTCTTTAGTAGCAAACTCTGTCATTGGGAAAGAAACTGGCTTCGCACAATTACCGATTTGGATATAACGTCCGCCAACTCTCAAAATATCAACAGCACTCTTAATGCATGGTTCTGCACCACTACATTCCATTACAACGGAAGGTTCAGTGTTGTCGAAAGCAGCAACTAAATCCTTATTGCTGCCGAGCTTAGGGTTGAAGGTGTGAGTTGCAACACCAATTTGTTTAGCCATTTCCAATTTTGAATCGAAAACATCGACTACCATGACTTTAGTTGCCCCAAACTTGGTGGCGACTGCAGCAGCTAACAAACCAACAGGACCAGCCCCAAATACAACTACAGCGTCACCGAACTTGATGGACCCCAACTTAGCGGCATGGACACCGACAGTCAATGGTTCAACTAATGCACCTAATTCCAAAGAAACATGGTCAGGCAATTTGACCAAGAAATCTTCAGGACTCTTGTAGTATTTACATAAAGTACCAGGAGGGTTGACGCCTCCATCTTCTGAGTTAGGAGTGGCAGCAAAAACCATGTGAGGACATAAATTGTAATGACCACCTTTGTATTCGTCACTGAACCTGGATGGGACACCTGGTTCGATTGCAACCTTGTCGCCTACTTTCAATGATGTAACCTCTTTTCCAACAGCAGAAACAATTCCTGAGGATTCATGACCCAATACCATTGGTGATTTCAAGATAAACCCACCAATTGCTCCGTGGGTATAGTAGTGAATATCTGAGCCGCAAATACCAGTCTTCTTAACCTCGACTATGACATCAGTAGGTTCCGTGATTTCTGGAGCATCATACTTTTCAAATGAAATATCGTTGATTTTATTTAATACTAAGGATGGGTTTGGTGTCATTTTGTTTACTTGATTATTATCGAAGGAAAAAAGTGGACGATTTTAGTGTTTAAATAGAGATATTTTTCAAATTGGGTGATGTTTGTTCCCCTAGCATATTTTACCCAGTAATTATTCCGATCAAAATCTCGACCACAACGTTACCGATGCACAGCTACAATAATTTCGGCCCAGGTTAAAATACCAAAATACCTAAAAATATTTAAATTGAACACTTCATACTTTACTATAATATACATTTGATAGTTGTAATATTTATCTTATAAAATATATATTGATTTTTTATATTTTGTTATAATTTTGATTTGTTGATACTGAAAACTCTAAGTCATGACTAAACACCATTAATAGTGGTATATAAATATGTTTAACGGATTAGTTCAAGAGAACTTTGGCGTAACCAGTCTATTTGGCAACCCCTTGTAAAGCTTCTAAAACTTCTAATTCGATATTGGCTTCAGCAACAACAACTTCGTCAGAAGAGCTGGCTCTCTTTTGTGCGTCAGCAATTAATGACTTGACTGCTTGGGCATCGAATTGTTCTGGTTTGAATGCTTCGATGGCACTGATGGTCAATTTGTTACCTGGTTGGACAGTAGCAATACCACCACTTACAAAGTATTGTTCGGTTTCACCACCCTTGGAAATGATTTCTAATAAACCTGGTCTTAATTGTTCAACAATTGGAATATGGTTAGCTAAGATACCTAAGTCACCATTAATTGATGGTAAGTTGACTTGTTCAACTTCACTTTCTGAGTATAAAGTTTGGTGTGGTAAAGCTAATGATAACTTTAATGCGTCGGACGTGGCAGCTTCAGTGGCATAGTTTCTTCTGACAACAGTAGCTGATTGTCTAGCGACTTGACGTAAGGTTTGTCTAAACATGTTGTGACTTATAATTATATTCTATTAATCAGTACTGAAAACACTAATTGATAACTTATTTTATGGTCCTTATAACAGTCACCGTATTCCGATTTGAAAAATTGTTGTATAGTGCGGAATTACGCATTTTGATTGGAGGGCGTGTAGGCTTCCTAAATAGGAAACAAGTGCAAAATACTTGTACAAAAGAGTCGTACATTATATACGTTTTATATATATAGCTAGTATAAAAGTACATTAAATCATGCTAGTCAGCCCCAAATTGGTTCAAAAAATTATCGACATCAAATTCTTCATCCTGTAAATCATTTACCCCGTTTCCGTTCGGGTTCGTACCGTCAAATCCCTGGTCCAACATATTCATATCCAAGCCGTCTAGTAACAGCGCATCGTTATCTAGCAAATTGTTCATGTCTAGGTCCAAATCGTTGTTATTGTTGGATTCGTTGTTTGGGACATTAGTATCACCATTCTTAGAGTCCTTGCCTTCGGGGAAGCCGTCGTAGCTGATCGTTGAAAGAATATCGGACGGGTTCGGTATATCAATGCCTCTTTCATTCGTCGTAGGCAAGTCGTTCAAATTGAACTCAAAGCTTGGAGACATAAAGCTGTCAAAGTTATCATTATTGGCATCGCCCTTCTTTTCATTTTCCTTGAGACTTTCTCTTTGTTTCTGTTCTTTCTCTTTCTGTTCCTGTTCCTTCTTTTTTCTAAGCTCTTCTTCCTTCGCCTGCTCCTCCTCCTTTTCCTTCTTTATTCTGGCCTCTTCCTCTTCTTTTTTCCGTTTCTTGGCCTCTTCTTCTTCTAGTCGCTTTCTCTCGTCGTCCTCTTTTATTCGCCTCTGTTTCTCCTCTTCTTCCTTGAGCTTCAACTCCTCTTGTTTCTGTCTATTCTGCAACATTTGCTCTACACACCACTTGGTGTCGTTGAATTTGCATATAGTATCATCTAGTACATCTTCAAATTTCGTTATGCTATTAGTTAATTGTGATGTTATAACTGGCGTTATAAGTTGGTTATTGGTTCCTGTAATTAAATTACTTTGTTTCTTCCGGCTATGTATTATTTCAAATATGTACCCGGAAGACTTCAATATATCATTGAGCGAATTATTCAACTTCTCTTCTAAGTTCATGACTCGTTTTGGTTTCTTCGATATTCCTATATTGTGGCCAATTTGGCTAATGCTCAAGTAGTATATGCGTCAAGCGATGACAGAAGACTTGATAATCAGGCTTGAAACAATATGACACAAAAACGCGCGGCGTATCTGGGACTTATTTAAATCCGCGTATATATAGACGGGACATAAATCTGAAAAGTTTTGAAATAAACCTTGTATAATTGATTTGCTTTACAAAAAAGAAGACACATTGACCAGTAAGACTTTAGATACAACTTTCAATGTATTCTGATCAGTTGTTATCAAAACAAGGCCCATTGGCGCATGTATGGTTGGCAGCTAACTATGACAAGAAATTATCCAAACAACAATTATTAAATACCAATATTATCCAATCGTCACGTATAATATCAACACACCCTATTAGCTATCAAAGTTCACAAAGCTCACAAACTCCTATGGAAAGCAACGGAAAAACTATAACCCTTAGGCTATCGGGTCAATTATTATTGGGTATAGTACGAATTTATTCGAGAAAGACAAAATACTTATTAGATGATGTGAATGATATTTTATATAAATTGAAGAATTCGTTCAAATACGCGAATGGAGGAGTTTTGCTAGGATCAGACTTGTCTAAGAATCTGATCAACTTGGCGCCCCAGCAAACAATCGTGTCTAATGTTGAAAGCATTACTTTGACAGATCAAGTAACTGATTTTGACTTGTTATACCAAGAAGATTTAAACTTGGGTGATGAAATGGGGACGGCAAATACCAACACGCTTTTTAGTCAAGTTTCAAACGCCAATTCTTTAAATGATAGCAGTTTTAACTACGATCAATCTATCGAAATGCCCAGGTTCAATGACAGCACGATGAATAACCCAAATAATGATGATGACTTGGAGTTGGATTTTGAACTCGGAGATAATGATAATGACAATACCTTTGACCAATCGATAGAAGTAGGTAGAAATGCGTCACAATTTCCAGAGAACAGCCCGGATATTTCCATATTATCTGATTTAAATAAAGACAATTCTATGCACAATGATGATAATACAGGTCTTGAATTTGATTTTGATAATCCTTTAGAGACAATTGTTGAATCCGGGCCCATTAATGAAGACAATGCCGATGGTGAAACTTCGGATAACAATGAGCCAATAACACCACCATCGACATCAAGATCAAGAACGAAGTTGGTTGGAATAACTGAAGAAGGACAATTAAAAACAACAAAACGTAAGTTGAAAGTTGATTCGAACGAGGAATTGGACATGGGTATTTCGATTGAAAGTTTAAGGAATAATCAACAATTACAATTAAGCAATGAGGCATTAGATGAATATTTGACTTTGAGGTTGTCAGAGACAGAAAAAATACAGTTAATTCATGAACTAAGTAACCCTGTTAATTCTGCCAATAAAAGAAGAAAATTGTGGAATATAGATGAACAATTACAACAAAGATGTTTGGAATTATCTCATGATGAGCAAACCATTGAGTATAACAATCAACTTCAAACTGATAATCAACAGTTTGATGATTTTGACGATAATTTAGATTTTGATATTTCATTGCCAGGGTTAGAATCTGAAGCTGATATTACGGGTAATACTTTGGAATCTGCTCAATTTGAAGGAGAAAATGAAGAAGAAGAAGATTTTTCAAATGAAGTGGTAACGAAATCAACGATTCAGATTGCTGATCAGCTCAGAGAAACTTTTTCTAATAATGTAGAGGACGTGGTGAATTTAACGGAAATGATCGAAAAGGATTTACAGATCCTCGATAGGGATGAAACTAAATTCCCATTAGGAGTCGCCAACAAATCTTCCGAAAATATTAGAGTTAACAAACGTAGGGAAGCAACTAAATGTTTCTTTGAGTTATTAGTCCTTGCAACAAATGATTGTATCTCAATCGAACAAGAACAGCCCTCTGGTACAAATAAAATTGGAGGTAAAATTAACATTAGGTCTAGAGATAGAATCTTTAACCAGTTTCTTTAATCTGAATAGATAATACTATTTATGCAATATATGTACATTATTTAATAACAGCTGACAATTTACATTCTTTTATTTCTTTGTAGAAACTCGATTAGTCCATCGTCGATATCGCTATTTGCTCTACTATCAAGTACTTCATTTAAAATCATGTCATCAATAGACCAGATCAGGATTGAACCATCGTTGAACCCTATTATTATATTGCTGCCATTGATATCAAATCGGGCTGTCGTTGCATATAGCTTGGAATTTGCGGTGTCAGAATTAGCTTCATTTTTTGACTCAAGTGAAATGGAACAGATAGGATTCATCAATTTGCGACTCATATCCCAAAAATCTATTATAGGGCGTAAATCATTATTCATACTTTGATTAAAAACTCCCAATGTGAAAAACTGTAAAGGGTAATTTGGACGAGCTTTCATATCTAATATTAAATAAGTAACAGGTATTTGGATAATGGGAGCTTTTTGAGTTGATACCCATATTTTTATAGTCCAGTCGATATTGGATGTTGCAATTATTGTTTCCTGACCTTCTATCGGCAATTCCATTATAGATGTGATACTCGAAGAGTGAAGAGGATTTTCGTCATCTTTATTATCTTCTTCATATAATTGTTCGATGTTTCCATTACGTGCGTCGTTTGACAATCTAAATAACTTACCATCGTCACCTCCCACTAATAGTTTGTTCAAGAACTTATATGCTGGAGGCTGGGAAGAAAGGTCCTTCTTCGTAGATCTTGCTAGATCAGTTTCTTTCTGTAACATTAAAGCCTTTGGAATGGATAAGACATCTTTTGATTTCACGTAGCCTTCGGTATTGCTGCTTGGTTTGCTTAGTTTCAAAGAACTAATTTTCGGCCACGCTAATAGATTGGAAGACCAAAGGTTAATAACGCCATCTAAAGAAGTAGAAATAATGCATTCATTATTTTTTACCAGTATCTGATTAATAGACGAAATTTCATTAGTATGATGTATGAAATTTACTGTTTGTTGGTCATTGTTTATTATTGATGAAGCAATATTTGATAGAATAGGTGTCATTAACAGCGGTAAAATGGCAACACTATTTCTTCGATTATCCAGTAGATTCCAAATGACAACTTTGCCGTCAGACAAACCTCCAATTACTTTGCGTGGATTCATTTTATCGAATTTTATTTCGGTTATTGATGAAGTACAATGTAAAAAATATTCTGGGAATGCCTTTGAACCTTTTATGTTATAAATTACTGCAAGTCCAGGAGACTGGGTAATACCATTAAAATGCAGTTGGTTTGAAATTAGATGATTTATGCTAGAATTTTCAAGTGAGTAAGAGGCAACCATTAATTCGGGAAAATGAGGAGATACATCAATATACTTTATCAATCGGCCTTTAACGACTGTAATCTCGAGATTTAATTGGAAAGGGCCATTTTTAGACACCCCATTATCGAAGGATCTATCAAATTCATTCTTCAACTCTTCACTCTCCGAAAAATTCTTGAGTATACTTGAATCAATAGCTTCTTGAGTAATAATTTTATTAAGGAACTTAAATGTGTGTTTCATAGAAGCATTTAACTTCGACTCTTCAATTTCCACTACGCCATCATTTTCAATTGTTTCCAAGCTTTCATTTGTTTCATCATCTATTGTTGTCTTGAGCTCAGTTTCAGTGTCGGACGGCTCATCAGTTGTTTGGATAGCTTTGTCGTACGTAATAACATTTTTCTCATTTGTATCAGATTCATTATCATGTATAGGGATACCATTACTTATATAGTTCACATCATGCTCTTGAGGTGCAAGATCTACTTGAATAGCGACATTCACCTGCTTGTTAAGTTGAACGGGTGAACTCTGAAACTGATCTATGAGCTCATTTACCAATTTATCATCTTGGCTAGTATTACCTAGTCTTCTTTGTTTCAATTCCTGGAGCCTTTGTCTCTTCCGTTCTAATAGAGACTGTCTATCCATTATTCAAAGAGTTATAATAAGGCCAAATAGTGTTGTTATAATAACTCTCTATATTTTGAAACCATAATAACGCGCTTTCAAAACTAAAAAATTAATCTCTCGATCTGACTTTTGGTAAATTTTCGATAAGCAGTTTTGAATATAGACCATTATCCAAACAAGATGAATAAAGACTTAGATATTGATGATATTCTTCAAGAATTCGATGATTCTAATGTTCGTTCAAAGTCTTCAAAATATGGAATTCGTAACTCGGAGAATATATATGACCAACTTGTGACAGCTATGTTAAATGAAAGAATGTCTCCAGATGTATTACCTTATAAGCATGAATTAATGAAGGAAGTACTAACACAGTTATCAAACCAACAACAATATTTGTTGGATTCTCATGAATATGGCGATTCGAACGTGGAATCTGGTATTGTCACTGGGGACTTCAAGTTGCAATTAATGATTATTGAGACTGACATAGAGAGATTGAATTATCTAGTAAGGCTATACCTCCGTACAAGACTAGCAAAGATTGATAAATTCACAATACATTACATTAATGAAACGTCCAATGATGATTCAACGAATGATAGGTCGCTTTTATCACCAGAAGAGACCGAATATATGCATAAACACTTCAAGATTTTGACTCAGTTATATAATAACAGTTTTTTGAAAAAAATGCCCCATTTTTTGACATTGCTAGATGATACCAGTGGTGGGCAGTCAATGGTATCAGTACCCGATATCAACCAGCCTGTATTTATTAAAGTGATCACTAAATTCCCAATAATAATCACCTTAGACGAAGATGAAGATTTGGAATTGGTTGAAGACGGAATTTATGTTGTTAAATATAGCCTAATTAAAAAGTATATAGAGATAGGTGATATTGTATTAATATGATAATTAATGTATATGAATTTTTACTTAAATGACCTGCTCATCACACCCACCAGGACATTCAATGTTCTCTTGGTCTATAAACCATTCTCGTAAGCATCCAAAGTGCCCCCTATGACCGCAACTTAAACTGGTAACAATGTTTAAACCTTTGCAAGGTTCATTACAATATATACAATTCAGTTGTTTTGTTGAGCATTCGTCACAATACCAGTAACCAAAACTATCTTCGTTAAGTGCTTTTCGTTTTGATTTCTCATTTACTAATAGTTTTTGGCACCAACAACAAAAAAACCTTAAATTTACTTCAGTACTTGCAAGATTTGCTAAATCAGGTAGTAATTCCTTAGGTGCCATATTAACAACATACATTGCGTTAGAAAATAGCTGTTTTCTATGGAGTATCTCAACGTACAATGACAACCATTCTAAACTTTGTTCTTTCGAGAAAACCTTTGAAACTTTTCCAACTTTCAAATAGTCGTAAAATAATATTGTTAAGATTGAGCATAATAGTATATCTCCTTGTAGAGATGCAAATTCCAATGCTTCTTTTAATAAATTCTCAGTCTTCCATGGTTTATATAAGCTATTAGGTGACTCTATGTTATTTCCAGTGATGGCTCTTGTCAATTCTGATTTACCGAAATTAATCGATGACATTTTCGTGTCTTCAATTGATTCATGGTCTTCTATCTGCTCTTCCACATCTTTCAACTCGGTACGCGCTTGCTCGTCTCTCATTAATTTTTGAGCAACAGGTGATTGCTTTGCATAGGACGTTTTATTGTTGAATCCATGAATTGGTGAAATATGAGAATTTCTTCTTGATGATCCAGGAGTAGTTGAATTGTAATATGGTCGTGGTGATGAATACGTAGAGCTATATGAATGATGTAGCTGATCAGAATAATTTGGGCTGCCAATTCGTGGCTGGTAAGAAGATACACCACAGGAAGATAATGAGCTGTTGGTTGCCCACTGCGCTCTATTACCTAATATATTAGAGTTCTCGTTATCCAAATCCCATGTGTTGGTATGTCTATAGTTAAATGCATTTCTAGAATTCCTTCTAGAATTCTCTGGATCGAGGGATAGTCTTCTCTGATGATTGATAATCTTTCCATGATGATTATTATCCTTATTTTGCGGGCTCACCAGTCCAGAAGTCATATTTTTCTCATGCTTATCTTGCAGGTCAATTTTAATCGGAGAAGATTTTGCATTCTCAATATTGTAGGGAAAATCGTCGTCCATGGCTTCTAAATTAATTGCAGACATCGATGAATGCTTCTTCAATTCAGAATTCTTCATGTCAAACTGGGAATCACTTTTATTTAACTCGCAAGTTTTAGTGCTACCCATTTGATCATCGTCAATTGCATTTTCGTGATTTTCTGGCCCCATGGATCCAGTATTTATTGTCTTTCTATTTTTTAATAACATACTATTTGATCGCGATACGACATTGCTATTACTATTTGACCGGCTTTGGTTTAATACATCCTTTAGATGGCTTGGGGAGTTTAGATTGCTTAAAGGCTTAATTTCTGAGAAAGATGCTTTTCTTGAACCACTGTTATTTGCATTCGGTAGTTCAGTATTATTTGAAGTATCTTTCTCTGAGTGTACCCCTCCATAATTTGATGTCAGTGTAGAATTCGAGTTGAAAGATCCTACAAAATTATCCAACTCAGAGAGAATTGATCTGTTATCATTCGTTTGGTTCAACTGTGTTATACCATTAGAAGTTTTGCTATCATCCTCATATGTATCCAATGAGCCATATGTAATGGCAGTTTCTGATTTTTCGAATTGTGATCGGATATTTTCTTCATAGTTATTAAGAGAAGACTTATCTTCTTCTAAGCTCACAGCCAACACTCTCCAAGTCTGACAGTCTCTAAATTTATTTACACCTGCCGCGATATTTGCGTTATATAAACAAACATCAATCAAACTAAGGCCGTCATTTACTGTGATCAAATAATTATTTGACAAAATTTCAAATGCATACTCGTCATTTTGAGGCAAGGGAAGTGACAATGGGACTATATAAGGTGAAGGGTGATTAACAGAAATAACTCGTTTGGAAACTGGTGGCGGTACTTGGCACCCTTGTATTGATGAACTTAGTGATACATTAGACCCTTGCGTTGACTGAGAATGATTTCTATTTAAGGTAGGCCTTAAATGATTTCCTAATACACTTGCACTATTGCTTCCTGAATTAATGTTTCCATGTTCCATCAAAGCTTCTATCCCTACAGAACTTCTATTTTGAAGTATAGACGATAGGGGCTTTGGCGGTTGTATCATTGGGTTGTGTGTTGCAGCTCTATGAAGCAGTGGCTTTGTGATTTGTTCAAATGGTGGTGATAAGGAGTTTGAAAATGAAGGATTCTGATATGATAGTGGTGTATTAGATGCGTTTGATGCTATAGGTATCGATGCAACAGTGAACTTCGAATGATTGTTATAAATCGAAGCGTTATCCAAGGAATTGGAAGATATACGATATTTTAAAGAACGCTCATCTGTTGGATGATCTTCAATTCCGCTGTTAGAAGCAAGACCACTTCCGTCCAGTATTAACGCAAATTCAGGGTCATATTCTTCACTCTCAGATCTAAATGAATCATTTTCTAGCTGGGAGATACTTTCAAACTCGTCTTTTTCTTGGTTCACAAAACAAAAATCACCAAGTCCACTATTCCAAGCCATCGAAATACTAGTTAAATTATCCAATGGTTTAATGATATTAGGGTCAGATTGGACCGTATCTAAATCATACGACACGAATTGGTTTGATTTTGAAACAGTCCAAACCCTTCGGGAATGTGAAACATTCTGTGCCCACATAAAATTTTGAAAGGGCTTATTAGAGTTGCTGGATATAACTTCTTTCGGAATGTACTTTCTTTTCAAATTATAGATTGAAATGGTTGGGTCTTCGTTAAGAAACAGGCATGCAAAATCGTAATTAAATAATGGATCATTTTTACCCACTGAAAACATTGTTGAAATAGTTTCTCTTTCATTAGAACTAGTTTTATCATCATATTTTTTTGATTCGAGTATTTGTTGATATTGATTTGATGAAGTATCTGTTTTACTCGATATATTATCTGGATAAACTGACCACCTTATTTTCATTACTGGCCCGTATGTATTAATCATATAGTCGGGGCTCATCTTATTTTGATGGGTAGGAGAATCTCCATAATTCCAAATACAAACCTTTTGATCTCTTCCTCCAGTTATGACATATTCCTTTTCAGGATGTATGTTTAAAGATAAAGCTGGACCAGTATGAAAATTCCATTTACGTTCCGGAACATTGATATTATGTTGATATCCACCGTTGGGTGATCGTAAGTCGTATTTACAAAGCGCACCTGAATCATGAACCGATAATATTGTAAGCTTGTTCCTAACAGTAGAATGGGGTGAGTATTGACACGATCTAACAGGATCAGAATGCGAATTCGAAGATATTGTAAGTGTAGGTTTATTAGAAGCAGACCTCAAGTCCCATAGCTTTATAGTACCGTCTTGCGAACCAGATATCAATTGATATGGCAGAGAAGAATTTGCAATATTCAGTTGATTAATGAAATCCAAAGAATTGACACATCTTTTATGATCAGAATATTTCCTGACTAATTTACACTTCCCATTATTTTGAACTTTGTATACTGAAATTAAGCCTGTCGCTAGCTCGCATGCAATGGTGTCATGTTGCGATTCAATCGTATTTACACTTGTGAGCTTGCTACTCGATAAGGTTCTGGAAGATGAATATATAGATTTACTCAGCTCCAATATATCCACTTCGTGGACAATTTTTGTTTGCTCATTATTCATCGCTAATAGCTTTAAATAATTCTTACCACCCATTATTAAATGATGCAATGGATCTTCTTCATAATTCTTTACTAGGCCGTTCAACGAATGATTAAACTGAGAAATACATGATACTTCCCGTTCACAATTATACACTAATTTTTTTTTATGGGATGATGAAGTTCCTGACTTATTATGCTGTTTGGGGTTCATTGATGGTGTTGGTGATGCGGATGAATTAACTTCAAGCGATTGAGCTTGATTCAATGCCCCATATATGTTAAAGGCAAATCTTGAAAGACTCAGCTGATTTGTATTAAGTTCATTAGGATCTGGCATGACAATCCTTAGTCCTTATCAAGTGTATTACCAGGAAATCAAAATAAAAGCCGTTTTGATAGTTTTACACCGATTTAGTGTTATCACCAATTCTCTCACAAATTTATCTGGATTCACGTTCGGCCTTGCTATATCTTGATACCAATGGTTAAAGTCTGGAACTTTTGCAACAAGTGGATATTCTAATTAGCTAAAGTATGTCATATATGGCACAAGTAGTATTATCAATAGGTGTGAGTTTGTTGGTAGGATTATATTCTTACCAATCCAGCTTAATATATCCTGCATCATTGAATGATGGACATGGATATTGTGCAACTCCAGATGAATATGGAATGCCAGATTATGAATTGGTGAATTTGAAAACAGAAGATGGAGAAAATTTACAGTGTTACCTGCTAAAGCAGAATAAGGAATCTCCCACATATAGTAACAAGACGATAGTAATACTTTCGCCAAATGCTGGTAATATAGGGCATGCATTACCAATTGTATCGATGTTTTATTCAAATTTCGGATATAATGTATTCATATATTCTTATCGTGGATATGGCAAATCTACAGGCAAGCCATCAGAGAAGGGACTAAAGCTTGATGCACAAAGAATAATGCAATATTTGACAATAGAAGATGAACAGTATCAACAATCTTCAATAGTATTGTACGGAAGATCGCTTGGAGGCGCCGTTGGTATTTATATCGCTTCTACAATGGCACCACATATCAAGGGTATTATATTGGAAAATACGTTTTTATCAATTAGAAAAACTGTTCCTCATATTTTTCCGATGCTTAAATATCTTTCTGTGTTTATTCATCAAGTTTGGGATCTGGAAAAATTAGTCGGTACAATTCCTTCTAACATACCACTCTTAATGCTAAGTGCAAGAATGGATGAAATTGTTCCGCCAGAACATATGGATCGGATATTTTCATTATCAAAAAGTGATGATAAAATAATGTATAAGTTTGAAAATTCGCTGCATAATGATACGGTTATTCAGTCTGGGTATTGGGAGAAGATTCAAGACTTCGTCGATAACAAAGTAAACCCTGTTTCTCATTAGAATATTACGTTCTGGTTTCGTAAATAGATCAGCGTAAATTTATATGTATACAGATAGAATCAACGATAAAAATATAAAGCTAAATACTTCGTAATAAAATTGTAGCACAATTAAATTGATAAAATCATATTAATGATAAATTGCGGGAAGATTACGTAAATAAAAGACAATCTCAAAGCTTTCCCCGTCATTGAACTTTGTTATCCAGTATATAATTAAACATTTCAAACTTATAATGAAATTAAAGGTTCAGCTCCCTTTTTACCAGAGTCTTCGTGCGACATAAAATCAAGTTTTTGTTCTTCGGTTAATTTCAAGATCTTCTTTAATCTTTCACCTACGGTTCTTAATTTAGTTTCATCACAGTCCTTTGTCCAGAGACCAATTCTAATGACTTGCTTTCTAATGTTTAAAACAATACCGTTAACTTCATCTTCATCATCTTCGATAGTTTCACCAATAACAGATAAAAGACCGCGTAACCACAAATCGTTGATGATTGATCCAACATCACGTCTATTGTTGAAGGCAAATTGCCATTTACCACCTTTGGAGTTTTGTTCATCTTCCCATTCCGGCTTAATTCCTTCTTTAAATAAATGATAATCTGACTTCATTGGTAATTGGTTTGCTTGTGGAATCGAGTTGTAGATGCCCCAGAATTCTTCGACAGAAGAGAATGTGATGACTGGTTTTAATAAATCATGCCAGTTTTCCGATTTATTAACTTGTGGCTTGGTGTACCATAAAGTCCATTTGTTATTTAATGGATGCTTGGCAGTAAATTCTTCCTTATTCGATAAAACAGTATCCTTGTTTTCTAAAGACAATTCTTCAGTTTGCTTAGATAATTCTTCAGACATCTTAGCTATTTTGTTAGTAAAAACTTTTATTCATATTTCTTGACCTTACTTGAGAAAATTAACACAACATCTGTGTTTTAATGGGTTCCGAAGATGTACTTTTTTCTCCTTAAGATTATAATTAAGTTCACTACATACTTTAATGTTTCCTTGGATGTTTTACTTATGGAAATAAAAGTCAACTAGGCGTTTAATGTAAAATCGCTTCTCGATGAAGTCCACAAAGTTGACGATGTTCAGCGAAAACGAAAAAAAAAATTGCGAGTAATTTTCAGCACATGTTCAGTGCAAACAAGTCAAACATACGCGTATATTACAGACTTCAGTCTTATATTTCTTCAAGAATGTAAAAACCTAGCCATAAGGGTTAAGATAAGTGTAAACGATAGATAGATATGTATAGAGAGAATAAGTGCTGTCATTAATATCAGCCCAAATTATAAAAAGTTTGTGTATTTCTGTAGTTTATTATTTATAGCAACATTGATTTCATCATTTCTGAAAAGTCTATTTATCGTATACCAGATACGTATTCAACGATCTTTTGATTAATTAAGCATTGAAATGAAATCTAACTGATCTAACTGGAGGAGAAGGAGACCTTGGGTATACTTTATTGTCAGGTCCTTCAAAGCAAAGCCCCTAAAAGTAAAAAGGAGACACCAGCTATTCCTGAATATATATTTTCCGATTTAAAAACGCCAACAGCACCATTCGTTTGCCCCACCGTTGTATGCTCATAGCTTCTCACATCTCCAATATTCCCACTAAGGGAACCAAGCCCAATACCACCCGACTTAACGTCCCCTTCGTCTGCTGCTGTGGAATATGTTTTCTTAAATGATTGTTTATACGCGGTTTCCATAGTGGTTTTTTCACCCTTAACAGTGGTAGTGATCCAGATGGTAGTAGACGATGCTTTGGTAGTTTTGTCCGCTGCTACTATTAAAGTCAACATGGATATGAAGCCAAAAAGGTACTTAAAAAATCTCATTCTAGGGTAAATACTTCAAAGCTTATTTAAAATACACTGCAAAATGTTCTTGTAGATAAACACGTTAGGTTAATTTATTCTTTTAACTATTTGAACTCAACAGAAAGAAAAACAATTAAAAATCATATTCAACTGCTCTTTTTTGATGATTTTCATGAAAATGATACTGAACAATCCAATCACGTGATCACATAGCCACTGCAAAATTTCTGGTATATATTCATACAACAAGCATCAGGTACCTGAGACATTGCACGTTCTAAGCGAACAAATAATCTAACAAGAAATGTGTATAATTTCGAAACGCCTATTTCTTCATGAAAGTTAGGTTTGTGTTGCCATTTAACAAATTGCCTGGATTTTTGGAGATCAAATGAATTTCCAATGCAGATATCGTAAGTAAAACGTAATACAAACTATAAATATATCACTTATATACATACGCTCATGATTCGACTCCGGTGAGTGTCTAGTATTCATGGTATCCACAGTATTCACGGCCTTTAATTTTTAACCGCCAATATACATCGAAGGAAAGTCCTATGAATATCGAGTGTCTGATTACATAAGTTTTAGGGAGATGGTGCGGCTCAAAATTTTCAGCTGAAAAAATATGAGATCTATGTAAACGGAATATACATATGTATAGAATTTAATTGGTATAATAATAAGTCTAATGGGAAAGAAGAGCCTTGCTGAAAAGATCGCTGAGTTGAGTAAACCTTCGACTGAGTTTGATATTGAAGATAACGATTTACGGAACAATGTTTTTGATCATAATGATGATGATGACCATCCTAACTCAGACCTGTCGGATGATGAAACATTAAAGAAGCAGCACTATTTGGCGGTTGATAAGTCAAACATTAGACAGGAAAATGACAATTTGAATTTGGGCAAAGCATATGGTGGTAAGGTAACTAGCAGAGGGGATTTATACGAATCTGATGAATCCAGAAGCCTCGATGAGCATGAAGATTCAGAAGATAGTGATTCGGGAATTTCTTTAAAAACTAACTCTGAAAGCGAATCCGAAGAAGAGGATGAAGATCAATCGGATAGTGAAGACAAAGATGAAGTAAAGAAGCAAGAAGATTCAAATTTAACTCATAAAAGGTCAAAGTTGAAAGAGCTAATGTCAAACGAACGTCAACATATTGTTAATAGATTGTCACAATCAGCTTCTAATGATGCTGTTAAGGGCTTTGCGATATTGCAACAACATAAGTTATTCGATTCTATTATCGATAGTCGTATGAAAGTACAGAAATCCCTCACAAACTCGAATGTATTGCCTATAGAAAAAGGGATCTTGAAAGAACACTTTGCCACTAAAAGGACTGATAAACACTTAAGGCAAGCGCTGGAAAAATGTTTTGATTTATTGGATAGTATTATAGCACTTCGATCGAAGCTTTTAAAGAAAGACTCTGTTTTGTCATCTTCCGAATCCGCTAAGTCGTTCAATCCTAAGAAGAGAACTTTAACGGACTACTTGGAAGCCACCGGGAAACAAGATATTGTATTAGAAAAATATCGAAGCTCTGTATTAAGTAAGTGGTCATCTAAAATTCACAACGCAGCAGGATCTACTGCTATTAGTTCTGGTAAATTCAAGGCCATAAATCAATCAGCGGAACAACAAGTCATCAACAATTTGTCTGACATGGACAGATTAATTAAGAGAACAAAACTCAATAGGCGCCAAGTCAAACCTTTAGGTTATGAGTATCTTATAAATCAAAGTGACATAACGGAGCAAGAATCTATAGATGATCAAAACCCAGATATTCCAAATGAAAACAGACAGACAAACAAATCCGATTTATCTGAAATTGACAGTATATTTGATGACGAAGATTTCTATCGTGTTTTGCTTAACGACCTTGTGGACAAAAAAATTCAATCTAGTGACCCAGCCTCGGGTTTAACTGTTTCGTTAAGAAGTGTCCAACAAGCCCAAAAATTCAAGAAGAACATTGATACCAAAGCTTCGAAGGGCCGTAAATTAAGATATCACATCCAAGAACAGATCGCAAACTTTGAAGCTCCTAGAGGAGGATGGAAATGGGATGACAATCAGATTGATGAATTTTTCGCATCTTTATTAGGTCAGAAAGTTAACATGAATGAAGTAGATGAAGATGAAGATCGTCATAATGATGAAGATGAAGAAATTGTTATTAATTCTAATGATTCCTTCAAATTATTTGGTTGAGGTATGCATAAATATATATAATATATAATATAATTTTTAACACATGATTATCAGGATTTAGTTTCTCGATAGCACATTAGGATACTAATACTAATAGGTATGAAATAACAGAAGCTACAAATTATTTGTGTTTCGTATATACATAGAATTAAACTGACCGTAATAATAGATCAAATAATAAATTAATCTGTCTGTGATATTTTTATGTATATATCTATGTACGACGGCCTACCGTGGTGGTCCCATTTTTAAAAACTCGGTGAAATCTATTTCATCAGGGATTTCTTCATCAGAATTGTTATGTTCGGAATTAGTCTCATGCAGATGCTTATTAGGCGATATAGAAGCATTGTTGTTATTAACATTAAGCTTGTTACTAGTTAACTGAGTAAGTTGGACATCCACATGGCCTGTATCCGAAAGAACCTTCGAGTAATCATGGAAGATGGGATCACTGAAAGAATTATTTAATGCATAATTTGGGGAATCTTCGTGCGATTTGGGTAACGAAAATAAGGGTAGGAAAGATATGAAGTGTCTCCAACGAGAATATGTATACTTTTCAGTTGGTGAAGTATCTACTTTACTTGTTATAATTTTCCAAGGCTTTTCCCTGATTAAAAATACGACAGTATCAACAGTACAATTAAATGCTTTCATAAACGCAGAAAGAGAACTTAACCAAACTATAGGTTTGTTGTTGGAGTTAGTGTATTTGAAATTTACAGCTTGAACTATCAATGGAAATGTCCATAACAAAACGTAGGACACTGGATAAATAAATATTGTTTTCATTTGCCGCTCAACCTGTTTCTGACGCCTTCTGAATTGTTGCAATGCATCTTCATTAAGGTTTCCTGGTATTAAATTATGATCGTTGTTTAAACGCTCTTCTCTCGATTGATTATCATAAGACGAATCGTTGACAAAATTTGACGGTTGTTCTTCTTTATTTATAGAAGTGTCATTTTTCCCATCCTTTTTCAGAGAGTCAGATGTAAAGACATTCAAAAATAGCACAAATCCCAAGGCTTTGTAAAACCTTTTCCATGTCGAAGTATTATCGTGCTCTGATTCATCAGGTCTAATCATCGTATTTCTGACATTACTATATTGCTTTGTTACATGGCGATAGACACAACCATATATAACGAAAATCGTGATGATAATCAAGTAGCGAGGAATCCAGCTTAATACAAGTCTATACCAAAGTGGACTTGTAGGCATGTAGCACCAATTTGTTAATGGTGCATAGCCTACACCATTTATGAAGGCTAGGGATGCAAGTAATATGGGTAACAAAATGGATATGGCATAAACGTAATATCTATATCGAAATAATCCTCCCTCATAGCTCATACCTCGTTTGACTGTCTGGTTTGGTTTGAAAACCAATAATGCGATGTGAATAGCAAAACTCAAAATTGCAATATCCGACCCTTCAATAGATAGAGCTGTGAAAAATCCCACAACCTTGCAAAATTTTAGATCGTAATATACAGAAGCTTTTGCAACCACCCTTGCTGGGTACAACAATAGGAATAATGCTTTAATGCAATCATATAATATCAAGAAAAAAATCAATTGATGTCTGAAAACTCGTTTTTTGTAATCGATAGCCAAAAAGAAATAGATACCAATTATTCCTGCAAAAATTGAAATTGACGACGAAACAATAGCGCATATTCTCGTCGTATGTGCTTCTCCTGGAGTATAGCGGTCAATATCTGCCATGACACTGTAGGTAGCCCTAGCGAAAAGATTAGGTACCTGGTGTATTTCATCATAAAAACTCGTAGGCATCTGATTCTATTTGACTAATTACAACCGTCTCGAGTTCTAGATATATATTTTCAATTTAATGTTAGTTATCATATCATATAACTTATAGAGCTTGGTAGACCTATAAACAAACCTTTGGCAAGAGTTTGTAGTTCTTGCAGCTCTACTCCACGAGATTTTTTTTTTAGATCATGTGACTTTAATATGAATTCAACCACTTTTATAATCAGTATGCGATCATAGGAAAATGTATATTAATGTTTTATGTTAGTTTTATATTATTTCATTATTAATTGCTATCGAAATGTTATTATGAATATATTTATTTTAAATAACATAGATGGATGAATATAAGGAGTTATTATATCAATTAATTTCAGGTCACGTGTAAACAAACCAATCAAAAAGATCAAATGTTCTTTTACAAAGAATAATATACATTGTAAACCTAATGATAATACTAATAAACTAGTTGCTCGATAATCTGTATTATCTAATATTACTTCATATAAAGCTATACTTAAAGTGAAATATCCCCACGCAATACGTAGGACTTAAATATATTTTTAATATCTTATCAACAGATAAACCGGCATGCCAGGTTTATGAAGTAAGATCATATAAAATAGAAAAATAAGATGTCGACGCCCCATCGAAACGAACCTCTTTACATTGTCTCTTTTCCCTAACAAATAAAGCAAAGAAACCTCATCCATGTTTGCTTAATCCCATTAAAACACAACCAAATCATAAAGATAAAGTCATTTTAGAAGAGTGAAGTTCTACCTTTAAACTACAAGGCATTCCTTCTCCTAATTCTTATACGAAGTAGAAGAAACAAAGAATATTTTTATTTATGGTTACTTTGTAATAAAGATTTAATAACTGTATTTGTATTTATTTTAATGTTTAGTTTATTTGTATTCTATTCACCTAATACATTAGGAGATTCTAATCTATATTTATAATATAATTTATATTATATACCCTTATGGCGGATAAGAGACAGAGTAAAGAGGTTAGTTTCGAAAGTGTAGAGGATGTTTTTCTCGAAAACTAACAGACAAATGAAAAATTATACTTTTTAAAGCACGTATTATAATGACCCAAGCTTTATATAAAACCCTCAAGCAGAAACACTACTCCTTTCAGCATTAAAGTTCCTCCTCCTTTGATAAGTAGGAAACAGGAAACTCCAAAATTTGTCTATATCTACTAGTGCGGTCACTTCCACATATATAGCATTAAGCTAATGAGCTAATAACTCTAATAATAAATTAATCTGTCTGTGATATTTTTATGTATGTATGTACGACGGCCTACCGTATCGGTCCCATTTTTAAAAACTCGGTAAAATCCATCTCATCGGGGAGTTCTTCATCAGAATTATTGTGTTCAAGATTATTCTCATCTTGCAGATACTTATTAGGTGATATAGAAGCATTGTTGTTATTAATATTAAGTTTATTACGAGTTGACTGAGCCATATTGACATCCACATGGCCTGTATCTGAAAGAATTTTCGAGTAGTCGTGGAAGGTGGAATCACTGAAAGAATTATCTAATGCAAAATCTGGGAAATCTTTAAGTTCTGCTTGTTGAGTATTATGTGATCTGGGTAACGAAAATAAGGGTAGGAAAGATATGAAGTGTCTCCAACGAGAATATGTATACTTTTCAGTTGGTGAAACATCTACTTTACTTGTTATAATCTTCCAGGGTTTTTCTCTGATAAAAAATACAACAGTATCAACAGTACAATTGAAAGGTTGCATAAACGCAGAAATTGAGTTTAGCCATACTATTGGTTTTCTGGAAAGACCATATTTGAAATCAAAAGCGTGGACAATCAATGGGAATATCCATAAAAAAATGTAGGAGACTGGATAAATAAATATTGTTTTCATTTGTCGTTCAACCTGTACTTGTCGCCTTTTAAATTGTTGCAATGTGTCTTCATTAAGGTTGCCTTGTATCAAATTATGATTGTTGTTTATAGGCGTTTCACTTGATTGATTTTCACGAGACGAATCATTGACAAAATTTGACGGTTGTTGCTCTTCATTTATAGGAGTATCATTATCGTCCTTTTTCAGGGAGTCGGATAAAATGACATTCAAAAATAGCACAAATCCCAAGGCTTTGTAAAACCTTTTCCATGTCGAAGTAGTCTCGTGCTCCGCTTCATCAGTTCCCATCATCGTATTTCTGACATTACTATACTGCTTTGTTACATGGCGATAGACACAACCATATATAACGAAAATTGTGATGATAATCAAGTAGCGAGGAATCCAGCTTAATACAAGTCTACACCAAAGTGGACGTGTCGGCATGTAGCACCAATTCGTTAATGGTTCATACCCGATGCCATTGATGAATGCTAAGGATGCAAGTAATATAGGTAGGAAAATGGATATGGCATAAACGTAATATCTATATCGAAATAATCCTCCCTCATAGCTCATACCTCGTTTGACTGTCTGGTTTGGTTTGAAAACCAA